GGAGAGGGAGGGATTCTATTTAAAAAACGTCTCATGTAATTAATCAAATAGAAAAAATAACCCTCCGCGACTGAAGTAACTTCCTAATAACCCAGCGCGCTGAATCTTAAATGCGATGCGTCAAAGTCCTTTGATAAGAGACAAGACTTACCCACTTGTGCTTTTTTTTCTAATAAAATATAATGTAATTTTTTTAAATATTTTTTTTACAAGAGCAAATATTTGCTTTCTTATATTGTGTGTTTCAGTAAAGTTACGTGTATTACAAAACAAAACGCCATTTTTTGTTTTATATTTACTTTCCTACTTTTTAAAATAAATTCTAAAGCATAGACCTGTTAAGAGCTTGAGTTTACTTATCGCCTGTTTATCTAATTAAAATTAATTCTAGAGTGTATACTTATTCAGTGATTGAGAGCTTGTGCTCAAGAGGTTGTATCTATTTCTGCCTATCGCTATAGGTATAATTGGGACAATTAAAATTGGCATAGTCCGCCATAAATTATCTCTTTCCCCTTGGGACTGTAGTCGTTTGCTGAGTTACGAACACTCTCTGTTAAGTTAGGAAATGCTTCATGATGAGTGTAGATAAAGTGAAAAGAGAAAACCGAATAATAGTAAGCAGGGCAGAGGTTAGAGGTTGCTTAGGTATGCTAAAGATCAGGGTCGGCTTTATAACTGCCTGGTTGGAATTATATCTTTCAATAAGCGTGTTTGCTTTCCTAAGTTCCTGAGAATGTTGAACTTTCTTTAAAGTCCGATACTGGCAACCTGCTCAAATTCTGCTTGCCTTCGTCTTTTTCTGTTGCACATCAATTGGTGTGATGTTATTTTATTTTATGTTCTTTAATAGTGTCCGCTGCTATTCCTACCTGATATCTCTTGTCTATGTTTAAGATATTCCCTACAACCTCTGTCGTGTGTAAAAATAGGCGTTCTGACAGCAACCGCTTTACTTTGGTTAATTTGTGGAAAGAAGAAAATAAATGCGATAGTTTTATTTATAGCGGACTATGCCAATCTTAAACGTCCCAACTATACATGTGAAAAAAGAGGTATAGAAATCCGTACATGATGGGCATCGGATTATATGCACTATAAACGTAATGACCAAGGCGTAAGGCAATTATCTGCTGAAATCGATTTCAATGTTTGTTTCTGATGATAGTTCAGCTGTAAATATTACACAATTGACTATATTTTGTCTGTGCCAACTACCTCCTTTCTCTAGTGTACCTAACACTATTCCCTGGTGTAGCACTATTCGTTTCTCTATGTATTGTTTGGTTATCTTCTCTATTTTTTTTATTATTCCAGTTTCCCATTAATTCCTTATTTGTCCCTCTCCATTCATTCTACTCGTATGACCGAATGCACGACAAAATGTACCAGCGACAAAAGGTACTAAAAATTGCTTTAATATACTTTGGATGCTACAAAACGTACCACCGTTATTGACAAATATTGGATCTTTTTAAACAATTATTTAAAAGCGACTTTCATAACGGAACCTAACCTCGCGACATTATTCCTACATATCAGCCCGCCTCCGGCGATTTAGGGACATTAATGGAACTCCACCAAACCTCCATAATCAGCTGACTACAACCCACAATATACTATTATTACGACACATGTACTATCCGTGGTGGTATATCTTGACATCAACAGATTAATAAATGACCCTTTGCAGCTAGAAGTGATACGTTATGTCGTGAAAAATCCGGTTGTACCATTTGTTGGGTAACAACTATATGACTAAACCATCTGAACGGGGTTTGCTCTATAATATCCTGTACTGATACCGCTACATATTCTTAGTTCCAGCCGAATATCTGTTTCCTATTCATTCTCATCTTCTTGTACTCCTTTTAAATATTTCTTTCCCATTACTTGTATCATGCGTTTTTTAGCTTATTGATAGAACCCATGATTCCGATCCGAAGGTGAGCACCGGTCTAAATATACCTCATCATCATCATAAGAGGCCTAGAGGTTTAGACCATTGCTTAGCGTTCGGGAGGACGTCGGTTCGATTCCGGGTCCGTCTGCCTTGGTCCAAGTTTTTCTGTGGTTTCCTTGGATCACTTAGGCAAATGCTGGGGCAGTAATATTCCACAGATAATCTTTCACTCCCTTCGGCCGTCTCAAATTTCTCACCCGAACCACCACCCACCCATTCCCACGATTCCTGAAAGCAGGCTGAAGAGGGCCTTCCGCCCTACCTACTGGCTGGTGGGAATGAAACACCCAAAAGTTTTTTTTCATAAGATCGTCACTCCTAAGAATGGTTGGACACGCACCTACACTCTTTCCTATCATGCGCTAATCTTTGCATTTCCCTAAAGCTAGAGCAACCCATACCTTTAACTATTTGTGAACAGTATTCTAATCTAGGTCTACCTCTACCCCTCCTAACTTCCGTTTCTGTCTTTAATATGTCTCTGACTAGACCTTCATGCCTTAGAAGGTGTTCTACTAACCTATCTCGCCTATTTCTTATTGATTTCCTCTGTTCTCTTACTCTTTCTAATACCTCATCATTTCTAACCTCTATCCACGGTATGTTCATCATTCGCCTCTAACGCCACATTTTGAACGCTTTGAACCTTTTCTTTTCCGCCGCGCCCACTGTCCATGTTTCGCACCCGTACATATATACCTATTGATTAAAAAACGTTCATCATTGTTTTCCTGAGCATTTTTATTTTTCTAACAAAGTTTATATTTAGGGCGACGAATACTTTTGCTGCTGCTGTTACAGTTAATTAATTATTGTAAAAATTTTAGCCTTAAATTAATACACACGTAAAGTTCTTTTTATGTGATTTACAGTATGTAAGTCATAATTCATATTTAAGAAAATCGAGGATAGGATCATAAGTGCAAGTTTTCGTGGTCGATTTTCTGTCAAATTCTGCCTCTTTCAATATATTTTGCATGTAAACAAAACTGGAAAACTCTCACGGAGATTGAGTTTCGTGAGCGATACTGACAGAAAGAATTATAGGTTTACACACACTTAAAGAGCTTGCCTTGAATTAGTTTCTAATACGACTATTTTTAAAGTTGCTTAAAAAAGAATTGATCGTTCTATGAGATATCGAAAATGGGTTTTTAAAATGGGGCAGAATTTCTTCTGAAGTACTTAAAGTAATCTAGAATACAAGTACCATTTTTTATTAACATTTTAACTTCTTTCGCTAGTGATAAGCGAAAAAACATCGTTGATAATCTTTTCGAAATGTTAGACTTGTGTTGAACTTACATTTGCTCATCAGTATTTGTTTTCTCTCTCGCAGCATTCGTAGTATTGCGGTAATTTTTTAAATTGAAATTGACAATTTTGCATATTGAACATTTCATTTTTCTAATATTTCACTGATCATCATAAGGTCGTCGGTCCTAAGAGTGGTTGGACACGCACCTCCACTGTTTCCTATCCTGAGCTAATCTTCGCATTTCCCTAAAACTAGAACAACCGACATCCTTAACTATTTGTGAACAGTAATCTAATCTAGGCCTACTTCTACCCCTTCTAACACTCGTTACTGCCTCTAATAGGTCTGTGACTAGACCTTCATGTCTGAGAAGGTGTCCTACCAACCTATCTCTCCTAATTTTTATTAACTTCCATAGAGTCCTCTGTTTTCCTATTTTTTCTAATACCTCTTCTAACCTTCTCTATCGATCCTCATCACTTGCCTGTAACACCACATTTCGAACGCTTCTAACCTTTTCTTTTCCGAGCGCCCATCGACGATGTTTCGCAGCAGTACAGCGCCGCGCTTCAAATATACACCCTCAACAATGTTTTTCGAATTTTTAAATTAATCATTCGCGAGCATAGAAGTGAATATTTCACTGGCAAATGTAAACTGCGGCGATGGTCAGATTGGTCCCTTAGGTAGGTATGTAAACTCATCCGATGATTTCAACACAGGCGTTAAAGATCTATGTAAATTCATTCGCTTCCTTGAATAAGTACTTTGAGAAAATATATTATGAGTTCTCAGAATTATAAGGCTAACCTTGCTAAAAACAAATAATGAGAATTGTTTGGATTAATGTGGAATAGATTTTCATAGTAAATGCCACAGAAGAAATGGTATTTCAACAAACATGTCTTAAATTAGGAAAGAACAAACAGATTCATTACTGCATATACAATACATGGGAATACTGGATTAACTATTTATCGCTGTTTACCTATTATAACATATAGGTCCGATAACTACCATCACCCCTAATACAAAACCGGCGTACCTAAAGATGTATCTAAAACTTTTTGATACTTCTTATAAGTTTGTACCTGAGCAATCGGATCAGTTTACATAATACCTCAGCGGTCAACAAAAATTGACCACCATTGATGAGTTTACAATATTTGGTTACAAATCGGATGAATTTACATACACCCTCTATTTCACGAGTAGCTCTTTAATTTACTATCAATTAAAAAGATAAAGAAATTCATTATAAGGTCGTCAGTCCTAAGTCTGGTTGGGCACGCACCTCCACTATTTTCTATTAATTATTAATAATTTATTTGTACTTATAAGAAACCAACAACCACTACCTTTCTATAGAATAAGAACTTTATTTATAGAACCTTGGTAATTCCTTCTAGATACAGAAAGAACAAAAGGACAGAATCTAACAATAAAAAAAACACATTAAACTAGTTCCATTGCTGTTAATAAACGAAATGGCAATTCTTTCGTTCCATTTTATGATTATTCTTTAGACATTAGTTCATATTAAGGAAAAATGAGAAACGTAAGGGTGGCAGGGAAGCTACGTATCGACTCTTGCCATGCGGATCCAGCATCTGTACGATAAAGGACGCGCACTCTCCCACAGGATAAGGCGCAGGCGCATTTTCACAGCAGTGCATCTCGCGATTTCTAACGATGCATATGAACGACACAGAACAAGTGCCACATTTTGATCGTTTCAAAAAAAAATTTTTTTTTCGATAAATATTTTAAACACTTGCACCGTTTGCGATTTCATTAATCATGTCAGCAAGTATGCACTACGTTATTATTGAAATTACGTGATAACAATATCTAAAAGTGAGTGATTTAGTGATAACGTATTGTGGAACTGACTCTTAAGTCTCGGCTTTTTTGAAATTGTATGTACATTTGTCATAATAATGACTTTTCTGGTATTTGTTTTGGTAATTAAATGATAGCTGAGGACATGACACTGTGGCAGCAAGGATGATCCGAAGAAAAATACGAACGTTTTTTGTTTTGATGTTAAGTTTAACACTTTCTTCATCGAAAGGGTAAATATTTTTATTAATAAATTACTAAAGCTTTCCTTACTGAAAATTTTCATTCATGAGATATGAACATAAATTTAATTCAAATGACCCTAGAACCTCAATATTTATTGTAAGCTTTTAGAAATAAATTGGAAGGTGTGTAACGCTACATTTTTGATGATCGCATTTTTAATTATACACAAATTAAGATGTTACCAAAATGACAAAAGAAGATTTCATTTACTTTTTCAAGTGGGTTTAAATTAATTAATGTATTTAAAAAACACAATCAATAAAAAAATGTTACAGAGGTATTTTACTCTTTTTTTAATTTATTATACATTTTTATCTTATATTCATATTGTATTTTATATAAATAGAATTTTATTGTCTTCATCAAACTTTTAATGCATGTAACTATATTGGATATTGCAATTTCTATTTTTGTTTCGTTCTATTACCATTTTAATCATCAATTCTTTTTAGCCATCAATTCTTTAGCTATAAAAATAAAATTTTAAAGTTTGCTATGTACTAGTACACTTAATTTCGTACCTAATGAAAATGATTAATTAATTTATGTTTATAATTTAGAGAATGACTGAATAATGTTAACAGTAATACTAAAAGAATAATTTAACTTTAAAAGATCATAAAAACTTATCGTTTATATCAGAAGCAATTGCGTTTTCTTCGTGCTATTAATGTTAAGTGAAATTGAACATCTTTTGTGCTTCACACTAATAATAATTATGTTCTGAAGATGCTTAGAGTAGATATCAGTTGTACCTATTGTATGCATATGTTTATGTCTCAGTTGAATGATTGAATTATTTCAATAGCAAGCAGTTATTACATTAGTTAATTGAAAACCTTATTAAGTTGATTGAAAAAAAAAACAGTAAAATATGTATGAATTTAAATTATGTGTTTATTTTACTTCATTGTGGCTTTTTATTTTTGTAATTCTTTTTAATATTTGTTAGAGGGACATATAGGGTGTTCCACCTAAGGCGGTTTCGTGAATAACTGCATAACTTTGTTATTGTACACTTAATAAAATAGAAAATGTTTCTATAAAAGTGACCTGGAATCATATGGTACATATACAGAAGTATTTCCAGTCTTACAGGGTGCTCTACTTCTTCTGGATGCTACTTTACTTCGCTATTTTAAATGGAACATCCCGCATATTTTTACATTTTTTTAATTATAGGTCGACTTTGTTAATAGTTNTTGAAAAAAAAAACAGTAAAATATGTATGAATTTAAATTATGTGTTTATTTTACTTCATTGTGGCTTTTTATTTTTGTAATTCTTTTTAATATTTTTCGATTAATTATATAGGGTGTTCCACCTAAGGCGGTTTCGTGAATAACTGCATAACTTTGTTATTGTACACTTAATAAAATAGAAAATGTTTCTATAAAAGTGACCTGGAATCATATGGTACATATACAGAAGTATTTCCAGTCTTACAGGGTGCTCTACTTCTTCTGGATGCTACTTTACTTCGCTATTTTAAATGGAACATCCCGCATATTTTTACATTTTTTTAATTATAGGTCGACTTTGTTAATAGTTCCCTATATCTATCTCTAGTAGTTCAGATATTCAACCGTTTTTGAAAACAAAAGCTCTTTCAATGAGACTAAATAGCATCTAAACCATAGAAGCTAAAAACTTGCGGTTTGGATAGTTCGTTTTAGAACAAATTATCGTATCGCTTTTGCTATGAGCAAAATGTGTACGCTATTTCGAGCTGGAAATATCGGAACCTACTTTTGACAATTTTATAAGATGAATAACTTTTTTTTTCAAATGGAATGACCCATATTAAATGATACTTATTGTTTGATGCGAAATTAAAAACTCTTTCTACTGATATTAGGTTTTAAATATAGAATAATCGTTTTTTTTTTAGAAAACTGATAGAGATAAATATTTAAAACCCTATATCAGTAGGAAGGGCTTTTAATTTCGGATTTCGGATTAAACGGTATTATTTAATATGGGTCATTTTATTAAAAAAAATACTTATTCGTCTTGCAAGACAGTCAGAAGTAGGTTTCGATATTTCAGGCTCTGAATAACACAGGTATACACCTTGTCCATCGCAAAAAGGATACGGTAATGTAATTAGTGCTGTAACAAACTGTCCGAACGACAGGATTCTTGCCTTTATGACTTAGATGCTATTTGGTGTCATTGAAAGAGCTGAAGTGTTTTTTTTTTTAATATCTCAACAACTACTATCACTGAAAATATTTTCTGTACATGCACCCTATGATTCCAAGTCGCTTTTATAAAAATACCTTTTTTATTAAATGTATAATAACGACACTGCCTTGGGCGGAGCACCCTGTATATAAATGCAACTACATCTCATAACGATTGTAATTTAATTTCTTTTAGATCTTCCTTTTGCTTTGTTGATCAAAAATTTTTACGTTATATGCGTTTGAATCATTGAATGTGATAGGTACTATATGAATCAATTCAATTGTGCAGTTGGACATTAACTAAGAGAAATAGGAAGTATAATTTTCTAATATGTACCGCCCTTATTATAATAAATAAAAAGGGCAAAAATCTCAAAAATGATGTACTTCATTAGAAGAAGAAGTGCAATTTTCGACACCATCTTTGAAGTTCAATCTAGTCTAAAAGCCTAAAGCACATAAAAACCATGGAGATCAGAAACAACTCCAAATCTTAAGCCCAACGCCCTTATTTAAAGCAGTTTAGCCCATGAAGCCTCAATAACGTTTAAAAATCCAAGGTTTCAAATTACCAATTACTTTGAAAGCAATTTTATTCAAATCTATAAGCTCTTTGAAAGTCCTTCAAGCACTTTGAAAGTGCTTTGACTATTAACGGTTAATATCAAATATTAATGTGAAAATTTATTTTCAATTTTTTACACACTATAAACTACATCAGGCTAATAAGGGAAAATTTGTTACTGTTGTCACCCCCGCCGGGAATCGAACCCCGGGACCTTTGGCTTTACTAACTAATGCTCTGACCACTAAGCTACGAGAGATGACAATAGCAACAATGACAAACCGTCCTTATTAGGTCACAGATCTGTCGAACTAATGTAATTATATTATATGAATTTTTATATTAACTTTGAAAGATTTTCACATTAACTTTAAAAGAGCTTGAATTAATGAATTTATAAAGCAATTTTGTAAAGTCCCAACTTCTGTTCATTATCTTGCTTTCAAGCCTTGATGGGATAGAACTACCATACAAAAAAATGTGGCTCACTTCATTCGTATTGCCATTTCTTACCGTAGCGAGTCTAAGCACATCCGTTAAAAAAGAATGTTGGCGGCACTGCGATACTTTATCATTTTGTGGAAGTAACTTCAGAGATAATGTCGTAAACTGCACATCTAGGGCTTTTCATTCAGTTGGAACACAATTGTCTTTCATCTGAAGAAGCCTTTGTACAGCAAAATAATTTCTTTGTTTGTTATTGATTGTGTAGTATCAACAAGTAGCAAACAATTACTTACCATTCCCCTTTTGGCATGACAATTATAGTAAAAATGAAAATACCAATAATAGGCAATGCAACCAGTAAATATTGCATACACATAAAGGACATATTGTTGCTATTTTTTGGGTTTTCTTATTCAAAAGTACCTGAATTTTGACATTATCTTGTATTTTTGCCGCTTCATTGAATTCACTTGTTACCAGGTTACAACACAAAGTAATGGTTTCGGAACGTTTGGATAATGTCACCCAAACCATTTCTAAATTACTGGATGGTTATGACATAAGACTTCGCCCAAATTTCGGAGGTATGACACAATAAAACATTATTTAACACATCTACATTTGGCGACCAATGAGAAAATTTTTCAATTTTAATTTAACAATTGTATATGTTACTGAAAACCAGCACAATCCATAAAGAAATCGCTTTTCTTTCTTGTTAGAGGGACAATTGAAAAAACAACTCAATTTATAATATTCCATAAATTAATTAAGACTTAGCGATGAACAAAAACAGACTTGCAAGACCAATATCAAGATCAGGACTTAGAGCAAGGCCGATTACAAAAATTCACGCAAAATTCTCATCTAAATTCTATTACAATTATAAAATAGAAATATTAATGTGAAAATTCATTTTCGAATTTTTATCCACTACA